CAAATTTTAGCTTGAATTTCTTAAGCCACTAGAAACCAAAATACATCTCTGTCCCACATAAAACAGTACTACTTACTTGCTTTGCATCTGAAAAAGCTACTTTCATCATAAATGTGTTTCAGAGTAAAATTAAATGGGGACTAGATTATTAGGTCCATCATTATCTACTGTTCCCTTCATAGGTTTCACAGTAGGACTTTTGATCAACCCTAACTATCCTTGAATGTAAGTGTATACATACACTTGAAATCCATTTGGAAATGTTTCTTTCATTACCAAATACAGAAATTTCTTATGGGTAGCACAGCATAGTAGGAAAAGAATGTGTCTCAATCTACTGCCCTGTCAATATGTGTGCAGCCTTGAAAAAGTTAATCTTTTGAGTTTTGTTCCTCATAAAACAAATTAAGGCATTTGTGAATAACTTAGTTTATGTCAGTTATTCAGTAGATGTTGGCCAATTTCTCCAAGACACTGATATTTATTGTGGGGAAGATGATTTCCACTTATCTTGGGATATTTTAATTTGGCTAGGTGCTGTTTGTTACATAGCAATTCTTAAGTTTTTAAGACCATGGCAAGAACAAAATAAACCTAGAATTAAATCCTAGAATGTTCAAACTGTGTTCTAATCCAACCTTTTCACTTCAAGAAGAGGAAACATCAATTATTTACCTTGCCTCAAATGAATTACTATTCAAGTTGTGAGCCAAACCTTTCCGTGTCTAGCTAGTTCCAAAGCTGACTGCACATAAACATTCACTTCAATTATCACAAAAGACCAACAGTGAGAATTTAGCACTACCAGTGTGATACTACAAACTTAAGTATCTGTTTTTTGCTTTACTCAGTTGCAAACAAAGACTGAGTGCAAACAAATCTGAACTTGTAAAAATATACCAAATACTATTTCAAACAAAATGCAAAGACTTAAGGAGCTTCCTGGCTTATTTTCAATAAGGTGATATTTAAGATCCTTTCCTGTTCTTATATGCTCTCATTGTAAATATCTAGAAATAGTAATGTTCTCAGTATAATCATATTCTCAATATAATAGGAAAAGTTTAGGGCCAGTAAAAGATACAGGTAGAAAAAAGCAGTGGCCACAGAAGAAATTTATTCCGAATCCTAAATTCTGTGGCTAATTACAAATATTTATGGAAAGAAAGTTAATTTCTTGATAATAGCAAGGTGGAAATCAGTACAATGGTAAAGTTAAAATCAAACAAAAAATAATTTTCTATAATTACATCTACTGGATCAGAAAGAAATTTTTCCTAGATGGTTTTCTTTTGGATCACTCTACTTTCATTATGTTTATTTTTACCTAATTATTCCAGGTGCAAAGGTCTAAAATCTATCTAGAATATGAATTTTAATGAAAAACAGGTGATGGTAAAATACTCATCTCCTTGCCAGTGTATTTTAGCAATTCAAGTGTTTAGTAGCAGTGTGTCATCCAAAATCTTCACAATTTGCCAGTTTTTTGAAAGTGTATTTTCTCAATGTGTTAAATTCCCTTCCATTCCTAGCATAAAAAATCCTTCCTTATGCCGATTCTTTTTTAAAATGTATGTTTAGTTGTTGACAGACCTTTATTTATGTATTTATATGCAGTGCTGAGAATTGAACCCAGTGCCTCACACATGCTAGGCAAGTGCTTTGCCACTGAGCTACAACTCCCAGCCCCTTATGCTGATTCTTTTTAGGATTTAACAAAATGGTATATATATTAAGTACAAGATTGAATTCTTTAACTTAAGTCATGGAACTTTTAAAAGAATATTGATCATGAGAACAAACATCATAAAATAACAATGACTAATATCCTTGTTTAGATAAGTTTTATTTTCCTTTAAAGTTTCTTAAGATTGTCCATGATTCCCCTGGGGGGGGGGGGCGCGCACTGGCTGCAGACAATGACACACATTAAATAAGTGGATCTGGTTCTGAGTATTACATTTCTTATCTTAGTTTCCGTAGGCAGAACACTATCCAGAGAAGACTAGCTTTCCTGTGCTGCCTCTCCTCTGCAAGAACAGAAGATGCTAAAAGACCTCAGAACTTCTGAGGTTCTGACAATTCTTACTACCATTCTGCTACCATTCTGATGACCTGTTTTCTGAAACTGAACAGAAGATATATCCAATCTTCCCAGGGAATGCTAATGTAGTTTTACCTCAAGAAAAGGAAATAATAGCAAACATTTGAAGTATTTCCTTTAGGATAAAAATATAAATTAATCTGTGAAGTCTTCTGATATCTTTTGACTCTCAGTAAGAAAGACATGAAGATAAAGGAAGACAAGCAAGCTAATTCAATATGAAACAAAATTAAATGTTTAAATAACAGAAGACTGGATGGCAACAGTTTCTTCAATTATTTTGAGAATGTAAGCAAAGAAACGGACTAAATGGAAAACTAAATGGATTTAAAAAGATGTAAAGAATTTAAGTTAAGGTCTGGGGTTATGGCTCAGCAGTAGAATGCTCGACTAGCACGTGTAAGGCCCTGAGTTCGATCCTCAGCACCACATAAAAATAAATAAAATAAAGGTATTGTGTCCAACTACAAATAAAAAATAAAATATTTTTTAAAGAACTAAAAAAATTAAAGTAATGTGTCCAACTACAACTAATATATATATAAAATTTAGGTTAAGACAAAAATTTATGATATTGTTCCATATACTTAGAAGACCATCTTCAGTTCTGAGGGACAGGTTTCATTCATAGAACACTTTAAGCTCTGGATTCAGTGAAAATTGAATCATATTCATGATTATTATTGGCCCCTCCCATTCCGGTGGTTTTTTATAAACATTATTATGAATCAATTTTTCCTCAAGATTCAATCCCTCAGCATAATTGCTCACTGCTGTCACAGGTCTATATAGGGGAGGCTGCAGCTTTCTTGAAAAGATTACAATAATCTGCAAAGGAAGAAGATTCAGAGTGAAGATTTGTGAGGTCAGGTCAAGTTGTTTCAACCATTAGACTAACTTTTCCTTTCAATTAATATAATTCTCACAATCGTCTTTATGCCAACAGAAAAGGAATAGTATAATTCCCAGATAAAAGATGAAAAATAAAAAAATCTCTCCAAAAACTTGAATGATATATTAAAGAACATAGCCTTTTCTGGATACGCAAGGTTTCCAAACCTTGCATTTTCTTTATTTTGAAAAACACATAGCATACTTGCCTTCCTTACCCATTGCTTGGAAATACTTGTTACCTATCACATAAAGGAATGTTGTACTTCAGAAAAACGTATCAGAACTGTAGTCAAAAGTAGAATTTTAAATCCAAGAAAGAGTTCTTTGATTCCGTGTTTGATATTCACCAGGAACAAAATTCAGTTTGATTAAGAGTTTATTCATTTGGGATTTGCAAACTAAGAAAAAGATGTATATTATGAAAACTGAATATTCCAATTTTATTCTTCAAAAAGAAGCCGTTCGAAATAGTGCTCAAGTTTGATTTTATGATAGAAATGCGGTTTGGAAAGATAGTTTACAAAATAAAATAAAGGTCACGAAAGGAATAGAAGCTGAAGGATGGAGGGAGCGGGAAGAACTAAGAGAGCCGACAGCTCTAGAAAGGGTACCTGTCCCAAAGTGGGTCTGCACGCCGCTGTCGCCTTACACAGCGCTCCTGGTAATCTCATCTACCAATTCTGGGTGGGCCCCAGGTGCAAGACTCCTAAGGAGGGAAACCACATAAAGGATTCTGTTCTCCTGATGGGAAAAGTGGTCTCTACAGGCTGCAAGCCTCTCCACCTGTTTCCTTTGGTTCCTTCTCAGTCAACTCCAACTAGGGTCCACTCGGCTGCCCAAGACCTACGTTTGCCGCGAGGTCCACTGCGGACCTAGGCAGCAAGTTTCCTGATGTTGCCAGTCGAGGAATCCTGCCCCCACGCGCTTTGCCTCTACAGCAAACTCCGCCCTACTCAGCCTATCTTGCTCGGATCCTGCCATCCTCTGGGCCCGGCTGGGGCGCAAAACTGGGCCCTTGTTAAGGCGGTTAGGAGGGATGGCGGGCACCCGCGGCAGGACCGTTAGTGCGCTCGCCCCTGCGGCGTGGGCGCGGCTGGGTCACACCTCCCATAGCGGAGCGCGGCGTGGATACCTGCAGGGGCCTCCCGGGGCGTACCCCAACTCACGCCGGTCGCCGGTGGGCTTCCATCTCCGTCCACTCGGCTTGGCCGCGCGGCTGTCCTCCCTCCCTCATCGCCTCCCGTGGGCCTCCCCAGAACACCGCTACTTGGCAGCTGGCTCACTCTCCCGGCAAACTGACCAATCCTTTTTGGAGTTCAAGATTCCCGCCGCTCCACTTGCACTACGTCGGTCCCCTCTTTTCTTTTTTTTCCCCTTTAACTTTCACCTGGGTTAGGCTATGCTGAACCTAAACTTTCATCTAGGATGTCTCTCCCAGGGGATTTGGAGAGGATTCGAAAAGCAAGTAGCCGCTGTCCCGGGTGTACGCCTACAGGCGACGCCCCGGGCGGGGAGGGGCGGAGCAGGAGGGCCTGGGTCGGCGGCGGGCGGGGCGGAGCAGCTCCCTTACGGGGAGCCCCCGGGCTCGTCCTAGCCCGGCCGCTCCTACCCTAGTACAGCTGCCAGCGAGTCCGCGGAAAAGCGGCCGGCGGGCGATGGAGACTGGGAGACACACGGCGAGAGGAGGCGGGGTTGGGGAGGCGCGGAGAGCGCGGGGGCGGAGGCTGGCAGGGGGCGCTGGAGGCTGGAGCGGTCCGTGCGCTCCCTGCGCCCGAGGGTACTGGAGGCTCTGAAGCGGCTGCCGCACCGGGGCCGGGCGGCGGCTGGGCCGGGGCGGGGGGCGCTGCCGCCGCCGGGGGCGTCGCCGGCCTCGGCCCCTTTGTTCTCGCGCGCTCCCCCTCGCCGCCCACTCCCCTGCTGTCGCGCGGCAGCGGCGGCGGCGGTGGTGGCGGCGGCGGCTCCTCCCGCCCGAAGCAGTCGGGCTCGGCGCCGGGGGCGGGAGGGGGCGGGGGGAGCGCGCCAGCCGCCGAGCGTGGGGGGCGATGGCGAAGCTCCGGGTGGCTTACGAGTACACGGAAGCCGAGGACAAGAGCATCCGGCTCGGCTTGTTTCTCATTATCTCCGGCGTCGTGTCGCTCTTCATCTTTGGCTTCTGCTGGCTCAGTCCCGCGCTGCAGGATCTGCAAGCCACGGCCGCCAACTGCACGGTGCTGTCGGTGCAGCAGATCAGCGAGGTGTTCGAGTGCACCTTCACCTGTGGCGCCGACTGCAGGGGCACCTCGCAATACCCCTGCGTCCAGGTCTACGTGAACAACTCGGAATCCAACTCCAGGGCGCTACTGCACAGCGACGAGCATCAGCTCCTTACCAACCCCAAGGTAAGGACGTCCGCCCCTGGAGCCCAGGGGCTCCAGCGAAGAATGCCTTGCTCCTGCGGAGCCCTGGAGATTTGGAGACAGCATAGGGTTAGACCCGTGCGGAGTAGTTCGGAATGGGTTCCGGTTGCTAGGAGGAGACAGGCATCGAAAGCTGTACTCAAACCCAGAGTGAGTTCATCAGGGAGCCCCAGGGATCCGGTCCTTCGGGTGGGTTTGTGCAAGTGACAATCAGTCGTGCCCCCCCAAAATCTCTTTATACACCTGTCTTGTCTGGCCTCAGATTTTGAGGCCCAGACGCAGCCGGGTCTGGCGCTTACAGGACGGGATTTGGAGAAATGCAAGCAGCAGAGAAAGTTAACTTTTCCTTCCATGAAAGCCCTTGGGCAGCGAGGATCCACCTACAGTCAGCGACGGTCCGAGCTGCAGCAAAAACTTAGATGTAATGACTTTTGTTAGGAGGTCGGGGGGGGGGGGTCTCTTAGCCCCTGGAAAGATGTTAAGAGAGATCCTTTCTTTTACCACTAAACAGACCTTTTAAACCTGGCGTCTAAAGATAAACGTGAAATTCTACGTAGGCCCATTTTGGAGGGTCCTGTGGGATGCTAGTGACTCTGTGTATCTAGGGACAATCAGGAGCGGTCTGTAGAACAGTACAACTTACTGAAAATAGAAAACCCTCAGTGAAATATACCAAACAGTCCTTTCCTGACAACTTTCGATGTCACAAGCATAAAAGAAAAGAAAATCTGGTTAGGACTCTCGGGCTGGAGAGCTGAGGAGACTCAGAAAACTGTTCCCAGTGGAGAAAAATACTTATAAAAAGCAGTGAACTAATTGAGCTTCCTAGTGCATCTGCTTCTGCAGGAAGGGTTTTGTTTCTTCCTTTGGTCTTTCCTATTATCTTTGTTGCTTAACTATCAAAGTAAGGGTGTGTGTGTGTTTTTAAAAGTTACTGACACTTTTTCTCTTTGTGAGGGCCCTGCCTGAACACCAAGCAGGAAAGCGGTCCAAAAGAAAATGAACTATGTGTTCACAGGATAACTTTGTATTAAATGTGGCAAATTGCATTTATATTTGTCTCCCAAAAAATTCTGAATTAATATTTTAAAGTATTTAAAACAAACTTACTATTGCTGTGTAGTAAAATTCATGATCTTTTCTTCAAAACAGGAAATCCTTGAATATGAGAAAAGAAAAATAATTACATTTTAGAAGTAAGACTCTTCTTAGAAAAATGCTCATGCTAACAAATTAATATTCATTTGCCTTAAAATGAAGATAATACAAAGAAATTAAGAAATATAGGAGTAAGAACATAGAATGCAGAATTTAGAATATGATGTTCAAGCTCATGAAGAAGTGAAAATTTCTCAAAGACATGTTATAAATTAGTCTGCTTAATGCTTAGTTATATTTAAAAAGAAATATCAGGGTTTTAAAAACTATTTTTTCATTATCAAACCGGTAATATAAAAAAAGGGTGCCAAGGAGTAGTAATGATTTAGAAATTATATGATAGTTTATCATTTAGTTTTTACAGTTGGTAAAACATTGCTAATTACTTGAAGACTGTGGTTTAGTCACTAATAAATTAATTATATGTATGTACATGTATGTGTATATACATGTATATATATATATATATGTATATACATGTATATATATATATATATATATATATATATATCAGTAAATGATTAGTATCTAACCACGACATTAACAAATTAGAATTTGCTACAGGAAGGCTGCTTCACAATTTCCAGGCAATTATTCAGGATCTGGCAGAAAAGGTAAATTGAAATCATTAGGACATTGATTTTTAAATCACTGGAAAGCAATCACAATTGTTTTATGTAATACCAAGATATTTCTCTCTGTGTCTGTTTCTCTCTCCCCTCCCCCCCTCTCTCAAATAATCTGGTATTTTCCAGTATCAGTTCGGAACTCAGCAATCGTTATTTTAAAGAAGTACCTGAACAAAATCACATCTTATGAAGGGAAGTATTCAGGAAATGACAGAACAGGAAGATGATATATTTATGTTACAAAAAGTGAACAACATCTCTATCAACTTAGGCCAAGTTTCCTCAGTCAAACCAATATTTCTCTCTTTATCCAGATGACAGGGTGTTGTGGCACATATAGGACATAAATTTGCTTTTCAACATCACCTTTTTATTTTTGATCAATTAAATACTCAATTTGGAAATTTTTGTAAGCAATTTGTGTTGAAAAAATTCAGTGCAACTACAATATTGTGGGAGTCAAGTACATGAGCGGATTGTTTACCCAGTGTCCTTGCAATTAGATAGTGTCCCCTGCCCATGCAGTTGCACCTTGGCCCTCTAGACCTTTTCTTGCCTTCCCTTACTTACCTCTTTAATGGAGGTTTAATTTTCCGACCCATTCCTTTCATTCAATAGATCCCAGCCACCTTCCACCTTCTCTTCACATCCCACCACCACAGGAAACCACTTAGGAAATCTCTTAGAAAAATAGAACAAGCACTTTTTCTTCTCCCTTGAATTTGCTGCATTAATCACAATAAAAGACAGGACAGGGAAAGAAGTTTACAAATGTATAACTTCATAAGCCATAAACTACTAAAGATGTTGATTTTTGACTAATAATTTCTTTAAAATTAAGTTCTCTTCAGTTTACTTACATTTTTCTTCAAGTCCTTATTCTCTAAAGCAGTCACTGTATCTATCATGTAACGTAGTATTCAAGGCAAGTAATTATCCACGAGAGATGACATGTTCTGAGGATTAACCATAGTGAAATCTAAATTTGGGGTTCACTTTCTCTTACTACTCTCCCCATCCCTCCCCTGTCCCTGTCACACCACTGTCTCTTTGTAACTCAGGGGTTAAGTGTGCCAAGACCTTGGGTTCTCAACTACGGTTGCACAGTGGAATTATCTGGGAACTTTAAAAAGAAATTCTTATGCTCGGGTCCAACGCTCAGAGATTTCAACCTTCAGAGATGTCTTGGGTGGGGCCTGGGTATTGGTGTTTTTATTCGGAGTTCTTCTCGTGATTCTAATAGGTAGATAAGAAATGAAAACCACTGTTTTGGACAGTGACCTCATCTACTGTTTAAGAAAAACAACAAAAGGACTCATGTAATTGATATTTGTGTTTTCGGGATAAAAGATCTTGTTGACACTACTGAAGACAGGAGGTTGATATAAAAAGAGAAACCCAAGGAAATTCTTAAGGGAAGGAAGAGAATAATTTAAAATTAGGTGGAAATGATCATTTAAAATTAGTTTAAGTGAAATGAACTCATGCAATTCCAGACGTTTGGATTTGCATCAATATATACATTGGATGGCAAAGAAAAGATGAATTTTTTAACCTCATTCTTTTTTTTTTCTTTTTTCTTTTTTTGTGGTGATGGGTGCTATATTCTTATATGTGGTGCTATATTCTTATATGAGGGATAAGAGAGAGCTGGTGATTAGAGACCACATGTTTAATTTTGTTTTGATTTTTTTTTTCTTCCACTGATGATAAAAACCTAGAAACAAAGGATAAGTCTGTTTCTAAGAAACTGGTACTCTACAAGTGACAGAAATACATTGGCGAGGAAAACTTAGGTGGGAATGAAAAAGGCTTTGGGCTTTAAGTACCATCCCCTGATGCTGTAGGTACCAGCTACATAAGCTGTAAGCACTGTGGCTTCTATGGCTTCTTGGAATTCTTCAGGTCCACATTGGTGCACCCATCCCCAGCACACAATTAGACAGTGTGGGCTGCTGGAGTTCATTTGTGGACTCCTTTTTTTGTAACATATGTTTAATTTGTTACATTTTGTGCTCTACAGAGTCCATCTCTCCTCTCAAAACTACTTAGTAAAAGGCTCTGCAGGGTTGTGACTTCTCTGTATCAGTAATACAGTCTTTATTTCTACATGAAGAAGTGGCTTTCCTTGTTTTTTTTTTTCTTCTAGTGAGTATAATGAATAATATTTGGTGTAAACTTAAAATTCAATTGATCAAATAATTTTTCTTTATCTATTATGATCAAAGAACCAAGAAAGAAACCAGAGGTCATACAAAAATGAGTATTTAACAAAATAGTGTCTACTCTGTGACATGTGTGCTTCTAGGATCTGAGTCTAGAACAGATTGAAATGAAGTCGGTGGCCTCATGGAACTTACATTTTCGTGCAGGGTAACAGACAAGAAGTTAATTTATAATGTTATGAAATGATAGATGGGTAAAGAAAATTCAGGCAGGGTAAGGGAATAGACAGTGATGGGAGAAGCAAAGGGCTGCTCTCTGGGGACAGGATGCTCCAAGACCACCGGCCTGATGATATCTGCACAGACACCCAGAGAAGGTGAGGCATATGAAGAATCTGAAAGGAGATAAAGCATCAAATCTCATGGCTATCTGGGGAAAGAGCATTCCATAGGCTGAGCAAACAGTAAGTGCAAAGGCCCTGAGACAAGTGGCTGCCAGGTCTGGGTGAGAAACAGTGAGGACAGCGCTGAGGTTGGATCACAGTGAGCGGGGCAAAGAACAGAGGCAGATGATTAAGGTCCCCAGAACAAGACAACTTTGGGTTTTATTCTAAATTTGATGGTGAGCACCTGACCTTGAGCAGGGCTGAGATCAGACTCAGACTTTGTAAAGATGTAAATGATTCTTTTGGTTGATGAGTTAAAAATGCAAAGTATGTGCACACATACTCACTGTGAAGAGCAGGAGGGACAAAGGCAAGTTCAGAAACAGGGTTCAATAGAACAGATAAAAGATGGTGGTGGCTGAGATCCATGGATAACTTTGGTAAAATTCACCGATAGGTTGAATATGAGAACTGAGGGAAAGAGAAGTCAAGTATGACGCCAAAATTGTGGCAAGCACAGCTGGATGAATGGAGGGGACGGTCCTTTTGTTAGTTGGGGGAAACTAGAGGAGAAGTGGGTTTGGAGGAGTGTGGGTGAGAATCAAGGTTACTGTTTCACATCTGCCCACCGGATGTACACATGA